ACCTGCGGCGAGATTAGGTAATTGAACAATCTTTGACAGAAGGACGGCGATGAATCCTGTTTCGTCACAAGTATTGCACGCAATACGGACTTATTGCGGGCTCCTTGGAGCAGCAGAAACGAAAGAGTCGTTGAATAATTGACATTTTTCCCTCTGCTGAGGTTGGTACCAAAGGGAGTTTAAAGAGTTCTGCCTTAGTTAAGACTGTCTGACAGCATGGGCTAGAGACGCAATTCGTTTCAGACTAAATGGCTAGCTCATGTGAGTAACGAGTAGCGCTGTTCAGCCATATGGTGAACCTAGATTGATGGAGTCTGTTCAACAACATATCGCCGTCATGATGCATATTGTCAGCACTAGGACTCTTGCGCCCATGCCCCTGCTTTTACGGTAATCGAGCAAGCTGTCTCATGCGTGATTAATGTTTCCAGACGTTGCGAGAGCTTTGAGCTTGATAGCCTCATCACATGGTCAAGCTGTTTCACAGCTGTCTAGTACGTCAGTGAGTCTGACGACAATCGCATTTGGAATGAAGTTATGCCGTCTGATGTTGAAGTGCCACCTCTGACCGCCGCCCCAAGATTTTTGTACATAATTTTTTCCTGCATCTAAGTTTTGGATTCATGCAACAGTACCAGAGCACTGCAAGATTGGAGTATCCGTTGTTAATGCACTGCAGCGAGGCGCTGGATCAGCAGACGTGCGGCATGGCGGTTATTATCGAGCTGGTGATCATGCTCCGACAGTGAGCGGTGGGTTTCCAACGACTGAAATTTGCGACTTCAAGAAGTACTAGAATTGCTGCTACGCCTCTAGCTAACCTGACCTGCCAGCATTGGTGACAGGCTAGCCCCTTTCCAGGCTGTTTACCTCCAATTACGCCAACGGACTTTCAGGCCATTCTTATGCGTGGTATCACTGAAAGCTCTAAGAATGATTACACAAAACTCTGGAAGAGGAACTTATAATCTCCATTCCACTTGCATGGTTGGGCAAGATAGTTTGCATAAGTTAATTAGGCAGAATGGGTTTAGGTAGCTCAGTGAATCAGGTTCGAATACGAAACTGCTTTTCAGCAGTCTCGTTGGTTCACTACCTACAACAGCTAATGAAATGTGCTTCCAACATACACTAATATTTTTCCTGATCTGCAGTGTATTGTCCCGACATTTTTTCCAGTTCTATAGGCAGAATCAAAGATGCCTTTCCGTAAATGCATTGTATTAACATAGGTCGTTGGTACGAATGTAATTGGGAATTAGTGATGATGTCGGATGAATTCAGGCAGTCACCAAAATGTTGTTTGTAATCGTCACCTGGAGCCGTTGACTGTAGCAGCATGTCTGATCTGTGATGCCAGTTGGTGTCACGCACAGCCTTTAAGCATTTCTGGTGTAAGGCGCCGATTTCTGCCTTGTATAAGGAGCAGTTCCTCTTCTGACGCAAATCTTTCGATTGGAGAATGACGATACATGTCATTAAACCTGATGGTTCTTCAGTGTTGCCTCGTCGCCTTACTTCTAGTCTCCTATGGAGACCATTTAAGATTATCGCGGTTCAGTGGCATTTGAGCACCGATAGGGCATTGGGAAAACAACATAACTAAGAGGGTACGCAATAGTCACGTCCGCACGTCAGCTCGATGTTGTTTTTCAAGCAGAACGCATGGTCGTGGTACTGATGATGTCCGTTTAACCCGACAGCGTTATTTTATCACAGAATTTTTGTTTACACCGAACAGTGTTAGTTTAATTGAAGTTTATTTTTTGTTGTTTACTGCCGTAGGTATTTCTGAAAGCATAGTTAATAAACTTCGCACACGTCTTTCTCTTTAATGTGATAATAATTATCCGCTTTATACTTGGATCCCGCTGAAGAGTTTTGTTTGATTGGTACAGATTTAAATCCTTTATACTTCTTTATTGACTATGCACATCAATGAGCTTCTGTCATGGTTTTAAGATCACCGTGTTCCGTCACTGTGGTTGCAGCCGGCTTTATAACGAAATGTTTTAAAGATTCCTACTGTTGTTATTGTACAAGGCTGTGCATCCGTCTTCACCTGATTATGAAATAGGTCATGAAATTAGAGGGAAGTGACAGATACATTAAGGGCGTTCGCTTTGCTGATTGCATCATCTGCGCTTTTCACCTCGCCGGCCAACGTATGCAACTTTATGGGTAGGTTGAAAAAGACGCTGATAATGAACTCCTTCGAATGGGTGAGTGAAATACTTAGGTCACGGTGTATCAGAACATCGTTAATAGCCGAAGCTGACTTATTTTCTTAAGCAGATTGTAACTGTATATATGTAATTTCGAGTCGTTTGGTTCGATCATTGACAGACGATGTTATTCGTCTCTACTAAGATGTAGCCCTTCTCTTCCGTGCATGTTGCGAAAGAAGAAAACAAGTGCAGCTCAATGAAGAAGTTTCACGCACGTAGCTTTAGGAGGTGGTTTCTAACGTCGATGACAAATCGTGTCGTACGTCGAAACTGAGCTTACCGTTAGTAATCGATGGACCGACCAATGA